GAGAGGAGAGGAGAGGAGAGGAGAGGAGATGTCATTGTTAATCTAAGAGAATAAAACAAAGCTGCTGACTGTCATAAGCACTTTTCCCTCTGAGTGCATATTTGACAGCACTGTGTGACAAAGAAGCATTTAGAAAGAAACACAATGTTAAGTCAATGACAGATAAGACTCCAGTGTTGGGTGTGAATAATTCTTGTTACCTCATTTCACTATTTTTTCTCAGAAGACTCCAAGAAGACTCTTCTTTAATCCTGCCCATGCACATTTGCCAAGTCTCCAAACAGCTTTAAAAAACCTCACTGATGAGAGACCACCAACTTTACGATTTCTTGCAGCTCCCACTGTACATTTTATGGGTATTCAGCAATGCTTTCCTAATGCTGCAGAAATTTCTCTTCTCTTTACTAGCACTAGATGTGTTTCATCAGCCGTCTCTCACTTTCTCCTCTCCTGCCTATATTCTCAAATTGCTGATTTTTAAGACATATTTTTCACAGAACTATAAAAATAGTGGATTTCTTCTTCCTTTTCATTTTTTTTCAGATCAGGGACAGGACAAAAGTTGAGCCTGCCAACTTTGTTAATTTTTATTTCTTTTCTGTTGTTGTTGTTGTTTAAATACTTCATAATAAAAGAATGTGCTCCCAATGGAATTTTTACTGCAAAGAAGAAAAGTTCTCCCATTCTCCTATCCCACATCTTACACGCTTCAAAACACACAGCAAAATTCTATACCTGTAAGAAGGAGGGCTGCTCAGGTGCTGTCAAACCATTCATGATAAAGTCATGGTACATGGCACATATTTAAAAGTTAATGGAAGAAGGATTAAGGCTGCATCTCCATAACGCCTGGATGACTCAACTTCACATTGACAGAATCAGTGTGCCAATTGCAACCAGACTTTCTGTTTTTCTTCTATAGTAATTTAAAATAATTCCCCTCGTCTGAGGAGAATGCTGGAAAATGTACATGGGAGCACACATCCCTTCTTAACAAGTGCAGAGCCCTAGCTTTTCACAGCATTTGGAAATGACTTTCTGGTTTTCAGAAAGTACAAAGCCATCACCAGCTGCATCACCCTTCAGAAAAGTTCAGGATGCTCTCCTGAGGATGAAATCCCATTTGCTGTCCTCTGTTTTGGAGCCATTTTGCCATCGCTTGTCTGCCCCCTACGTTGGGAGCTGAAGACAAGCCAAGATCACAAACAACATCTACTGTTCAGTCTTGTCACTTAAACGTTAGACTGTTTCAGCCTCCTTTTCCTATTTCTTTATTACTTTTTAAAAAGATATTATTTGAAGAAACATTCTTGAGTTTCACAGCTATGTCTTCCAACTCCACCAGTTCCAGCAGATAGGTTTAGGAGAACAGATAGGTTTTGGAAATGGCACTGCAGCATCAAGGCAAGCTCTGCCCCTTACTGGATCTGCAGTGCAGTCAGAATCACAGAATCAGAAAGTTGGAAAAGATCACTAAGATCACCGAGCCCAACCACCAACCCAACCCCACCATGCCCACTACCCCCTGTCCCTCAGTGCCGCATTTCCACATTTCTTGAACCCCTCCAGGGACATCACTGACTCCACCACCCCCCTGGACAGCCTATGCCAATGCCTGACCACTCTTTCTAAGAAGATTTTTTTCCTCATATCCATCCTGAACCTCGCCTGCCATAACTTAAGGTTGTTACCTCTTGTCCTTATCCATGACTTTGAGTAATCCATGACTTTGAGTAACTCAGTGCCAGATGATGGTGGAGTGAGAGGTTAACACTTCTTCAGCAATAGTCCGCTCAGGATTTTACCCACACTCTCAGGCCCTCACAATGGACTAGCAAAGGGATTATGTTCTTATTTATTTACTCATGAAGGTAGAGGTAACAAAGCTGCATGGCATGCCTCTTGGTTAGTGCTTGTAATGAAGCTAATTATTTGATGGTTCTTGAAATTGAAGAACAACCCCTTTCGTATCCTACAAGAATGTGGCCACAGCTAAACATCTGCTGTATTAAATAGGGCTGGGTTGGGTCAACTTTGCTCACCCAAGAAAGAGCAATAGGGGTATCCTCATTGCTTGCACCAGCTCAGCTCTGCTATCAGCGAAAGCTCACCTTGTGTGTACCAGTGCTCTCCAAGACCTGGGAATACATGCCCTATAGGACACCACAGGGCTGTTAAAATGATGCAGCTCTGAGCAAAGACAAGGCTGATATTGAGTGGCCAGAAGACAGGAAAAAAGTTTCTTTGCTCCTCATAACCACAGCCCCACTCCCCTGCACTTCTCTCCAATGGGCAGGCAATTCCCTCCATCTGTTTTTCACCTCATGTTATCATTTTGGCACACGGGTACCGTGCAGCAGAATGAGCTGCTACCCCCATATGGCACACAGCAGCTGGCACAGAGCTGGGATTTATTGACATTTTGTCCCCAAAACACAAAGCCATGCTCCTCCAAGCCGGGATACCACACATCACGGTAGTGATTTCTGTGAGCAACATGGGCAACGTGAGCTCAGGCATTGCTGCTCATCTCCATCACATGGGGCTGGTGTGCCAAAGGGATCCAGCATCCTGCTTGTTTCAGTTAAAGAGCAACTTTCGGCTAAATAACTCTGCAGACGAGGCAGTGGAGACCCTTTTAAAGCTCTCTCCCCTTGGTTTAGCTTTGAATAAGCTTTGATTTCAATCACCTCTAAGGCAAAGAGCAACAAGGCAGTCAGATGGTAACAGCAGCCCACTGGCACTTTGCATTGGTTGCAATGCACCGGCTTGGTGTGCATGCAGCATCTGTGCTGCAGAGATGGCAGCTGGCACCACTGTGTCCTCTGCAAATGGGGACAAAGCACCAGCACCTATGAGCAATGGAGCCCTGACTGGGGCCCCCTTTAGCCCTGTTGTGATACCCGTAACCACAAGGATACTAAAATGAGAGGAGCAGAAGGTCTGACACCGGGTATGTGACCAGGGTCACTCAGGTTTAGGTTTCTTCTTGGAAGCACTCCCTATCACAGCCACACCAAAAGAGCGGCTCTATAACCAACACCCAGAAAATGCCCACGCCTTGAGGTCAAGAGGGAAAAACAAATGGTGCAAATGGCTGCAAACTTGTTTGTTTTTGGTGGGCTTCACTTATTTACCCCCCAGAACGATTTGCTCTGTGGAGTCAAGCTAGAACAGCAAAGGATTGTAGATAGCCAGAATTTAATGCTGACACTGAAATTTGGCCAAGATCTTGTGTTTAATCCTCCTTCTCCTGTTAGAAGAGCCTCAGAAAGTTTAATGTAGGCTTCCAGGGAATGCCAAATCTCCTGAACAATGAGAGCAGACACTGCTGGAGTGGCTGGGGCCCCTGGTACCCTTAGAACATTGGGATAAAACAGGTTAGTCAAAAATCCCTTTCTTGGCTCTCCTCTTAAAGACTGAAATCAGGAGCAAAGATGAAGAAAATAACCATCAGTGATAGCACTAGTAGCAGAAGATCAACAAGTGAGCTCAACTGGCTCACCTAAAATCCTTCTGCAAAAGAAAACAAAACTCCAGTAACATCTTGGACAGAGGATTTAATAGAAGGGGCAGCAGGGCCACGACAAGGTGCTGAACCATGACTCAGCACACCTTCTCTTGGATTGCCCCAATACCTGACCACAGCACTGAATGAACCACCAGGCATTGCTTGTCTTGCTCTCATGGATCTCAGCTAAAGGTGAGCTCCCTTTGCTCACCTCATGTGGTCCCAATGGCTGCAAGGTAGACACGCCATGGCGGAGGGTTGGGAACCAATGTCCCTCTTCCAGCAGTGAATTCAAGCATCTCACACCTTACATGCCAATGACTCTCAACAACAATGCTGTTGTTTAAGGGGTTCGAGTGATTACCACAACAGAAGCCAAGTACCTAAATCATGAAGATACTTCTAAAAATGACACTCACATTTTCCCACAGTCTTGCAGGAAGTTTATTCCCAGCAAACCTCTGCCTCTTTGCAGCCCTCCCTTCCAACCTGGCTCTGCCATGCTCGGTCTGCACCCTCATTAGGATGAGGAAGGGGCATTCAGGGTGCGCAAGGGCCCAGCAGGACACAGCTCGTGGCCCATAGCAATTACCCTCAAGTCCAGGCTCCGTGGTTCACCCTGTGAAAACTAGGTCGGACTTTTGCTGCAAGAATAATTCTCACAAGAGGATCCAAATATGGTAGCAGAGTGGTAACAGAGGAGTGGATTTTGAGGAGTAACAACAGGCAAAGTGGCAACAAAACAGACAGAGGGTGGGTGTCAGGGCTTCTCTTGCTTTCCATCCTGCCAGGGAGCTCAGGGCACCATTAGGAGTGCTGCATGAAGTCAACAAATCATAGAATGGCTTAGGGTGGAAGAGACCTTAAAGATCATTGCTTCCAACCTCCTGGACAGGGTTAAGGGTCAGGCAGCCCCAGCTCACAGATCAGGATTTCGATGTGGGAAATGAGTGATAAGAGAAGTGGTTGTTGGAAACCAAAGCGAATCCCGAATTTCACTAGAGAGGGAGCGGGATGAGGGGGAAAATGAAAAAACAAGCGCACACGGTGGGTCACCGCAAGTCTCCGGGGGGCAGGATTTCTCTTCCATCGCATGGAAGAGTGAGATTAAAGAAGAAAGTGGGAGTGGGGTGGGAGGGAAGGGAAGGGGAGGGGGGGGATGAACAAAGGAGATTGGCAGCACAGCTGTTTTGGGAAGAAAAAAAAAAAAAAAAAAAGCCAGCCTTCCTGTTTCTTTAAAGCCGCTCATCTGCGCGGCGGGCCGGCTGCCGGCGGGGAGAGGCGGGCTGCAGGAGCCGCGCACGGACGGACGGACGCACGGACGGACGCACGGAGCGAGCCGGGGCTCCGCTGCCCGACGCGGCCGATCGGGCGCAGATGGGCGGCGGCGGCGGGAGGAGCGGGGCGGCGGCGGCGGCGGCAGCGGCGGCAGCACCGGGAGCGGAGCGGCGGGGCGGGCGCTGAGCGCAACCGCGCATTGCCCCGCGCCATGCGGAGCACGCCGCTGGCCGAGGGCGAGCCCTGGCCTCGCCTCTGTCCCGCCGCCGAGCTCGGGGGGCTGCGGCGGCTGAGACGCAAACACGGCTGCAAAAGTTTCCGCGTGGAGCTCAAAGTGCTGAGCGGGCGCCGGTCGGGGCTCCGCGCACCCCCGGCTCCTCCGCCGCCTCCCCCGGCTCCGCCACCCGCTTGGGAACCGCGCGGAACCGCCGCGCTCGGAGCCGCCGCCAGCGCCTTCCCCGCCGCGCCGCCGCCTCCGCCGCCCCCCGCCGCCGCCCGCCCGCAGCCTCCGCCGCCGCCTCCCGCCGCCTCCCCGCGCCCGCGGCCGGGCGAGGCTGCCGGCGTCTCGCCGGAGATCAAAGCCCTGCAGCAGACGCGGCGGCTGTTGGCCAACGCCCGGGAGAGGACCCGCGTCCACACCATCAGCGCCGCCTTCGAGGCGCTGCGGAAGCAGGTACCTGCCGGGCCGAGGTGCCGGGAGACGGGGTGCGGGGGGGATGCGGTGACAGGAGGGGATGTCGCCTGGGAGCGCCGAGGGTGGAACCGTGCTGTCAATCGGGACCGAGAAACAAGGATTTTTCATTTGCCTGCGTTGGGAACTCGGGATTTTTTTCCGTTTCTTTTTCCCCCCGGAGACAGAAGGGCACAGAGGAGAAGGCAGCGCAAACGAAAAAGCCCTTGAGAGCATCACCGCGGCTCGCTGTGTGCTCCATGCAGCAGCACGTGTGCGTGCCGGCGTGCGCTGTCCTGGGGGGAGCGCAGGGCACTGGGATGGAATTCTTAAGCCCATTCAGAGGGGTTTCCCTCTGAAGCTTCCATTGTAGCTTTGGCTGAGCCCAGTGGTGCACCTTTCCCAATGAGTTTCCCCATCCCAATGAGTTTCCCATGATTTTTCAGTAGCTTTTGCTTGATGTGTGTACAGTGCTGGGCTTTCTTCTTGAGAGGGCTTAGGAAATCCTCGTGATGTTCTGGGAGTGAATAAAAGAGGTGATCTCGTGGGCAAGGTGGGACTTCTGAGAGGTGAACGATGTTGTGGAGAAAATTTCTCCATCCCATTGCCTCCCCAGTGTGTAGAAGGGGAGAGGATAGCCGAAGGAGGGAGCAAGGCTGTACACCAGCGTTATTCTTCTCATTTCTTCCCCATGAGGATAAATCAGTGTCCAGCCCTGATCTGACCCCCATATCTCTATCTCTGCTCCCTGTTACAGCTCCCAGCCATCCTGGCTTTGTTGCCTTCCACCAAATGCCAGCAGAGCTTCTCCAGGTGTCCACAGCTCACAGCCCTCTGAGCCTCACATCTCAGAGAGATGCTGAGCATCACATCGCCCAGACCCATCCCTCCAGGGCTGTGTGTCAGGCGAGAACTGCTGGTAGGCACCTAAGGCAGAGGGGCTTCAGTCACTGTGTGGCACTCCCTGCCTAACAGCACTAACCCAGGATGTTCCTCCGGTGCTGAGTTTGCCATTTGGAAATGTAAACCCCAGGCGTGATCTCTTTTGTTTCTCCAAGTTGTTTCCCTATCTTGGTTGTTTGGTGGCTGTGTGTAACGTGTTTGGAAGTGTCAGTCTAATTCTCTATGGACAGACATCTACACCACTGAAACCGCAAGGGGAAGTAGCTCTGATTTCCCAGCTCGCTGGCAGTCTTGTTCTAGGCTGAGCCTCAAGCAGAAGTCAGGCAAGCAACAAATTAAAGCCGCACTCTTTTGGGAAATGGGCAACTCTTGAAAAGCCTCAAATTCCTGGCCTTGGCCCTGCGTCCATAAATCATTTCAGCCCAGGACTCAGCTGGGAGCCCAAAGAGCCTGGAGAACAAGTTGCTGTCCTCTCTTCCCATGAAAGCCAGTCTCCAGGGTCAGTGCTGGAGCATACTGGCAGAGCTGCGCTCGCTCTGCGGACAGAAAGAAATCATTCTCTGGGAAATGTTTGCTGCGAGGTTTTCCTAGCAATTTGCTGAGGGGTGGGCTGGCTGTCCTGATCAGCATTGGATGACATTTGGATTCATTTCTCCCTGGGCTGCCAGCAGCGTGCTTGGTGCCATACGTGACATCAGGTGACAGTCGGCTTCATTGCACATAGGCGCAGTGCTGGCTGTCACTCAAATCGTTCCCACCGGTGCTGCGGAGTGGCTTTGGGATCAGGACAGAGGAGGGAAACTCTCTATCTGCACCATCCCAGCCAACAAGGCTGAGAGGCAGGAGCATGGAGAGGTTTGCTTTGGGATAGGAGTGTGCTGGAGAGCCAGTTCCTGAGGTGCTGAAATCAACAGGTCTGTGGTGAGGAGTGCACCCAGCCTGCGCTCCTTCTATAGGAAGGGATTGGTGTGCAGGAGCTGGTGGTACCTGCATGGATTCTATTTCCTTCCCACCCTGATGGGTACATGGGGCTGGAGGTGCCCACCCATGGTGCCATGGAATCGTAGAATCATTTGAGTAAGTAGGAAGGCAGTCCTAAAGGTCATCTGGTCCATTTCGTCTGCGATGAACAGAGATACCTACAGCTCCATCAGGTGCTCAGAGCTCTGTCCAGCTTGACCTTGAGTGTCTCCAAGGATGGAGCATCCACCACGTCTCTGGGTCAGCCTGTTCCATTGCCTTACCACCCTTGAAGGCAGCTGGCAAAATGCCAGTGGTCACAGAATCAATCCCACTGTAGGGTACCAGGTTATCCCAGGTGAGGAGGAGGACAGGCAAGCTGTGTTTCTCTATGGGATGCCCAGTGGCAGCCCACCATAGGGGAGTGGCTGGCACACAGTGTGCCAGGCAGATGGGCTCTGCAGCTGTGTGCATCTGGCACACATGTTTTGACTCATGGACGCCAGTTCTCCAGATGGCAGGAAGGCTTTTTGTTGTCACTGCTGTCGGTTTTGGAGGAGGAAAAGCCAGCCACAGGCATTTTATACAAGGAGGGAATAATCCAAGCATGGTTCTGAGCACTTGGCTGTGCCAGAGGTGGCAGATAAATGGGCAGCTGTTGGCTCTGGAAGGAGGAATGTGTCATTGCCATCGTCCTCACCCTTTTGTGTTATGGCCAGCAGGGATCTCTCACCATATGAGTCCCATAAAGCAGGACCAAAGATCAGATGCTTCCATGATGCAGCTCCTTCTCTGCAGTCCTGCTTCTTGTGCTGGTCAGCTATTCATCTGGGAGATTTTTTTTCCTCCCTGAATTCCCCAAGTGTCATTTGTTAAAGTCTTCTATTGATGCAGGACTCGAGGCTAATAGCGTAGTTCCCCATGGAAAACACACCTCACTGCTTACCTGTTGCAAAAGGAGGAGGAAATAGCTCTGCTGTGCTTTGCTCTCACTAAGTATCCCTGCTGAGTGCTGCTCCTCTCCCTCTTTCCACCTCCCACCCTGGGACACCCACATGGCTGCTGCTCTGCGGGTTCTTGCACCATCCCATTGCCCCAAGGTGCCATGGAGTTGCAGTAAGAGATGAGACCTGTTGTCACTTGCATCTGTTTTCCCTTGTGCTCCCGGCCCTTGTGGGTGGTCAGTGAACCCAGGCGTTGGCGATGTGGTGATGCAGCAAAGAGCTCATGGGACCCAAGGCCATTGCTTTGCTCCTTTGCGTTCTCATTTTCACATCTGGCAGACTGCAGCAGTGCAGTGGTTTCAAACTAAAAGAGGGGAGATTTATGCTGAACGTTAGGAGGAAATTTTTACTCAGAGGGTTTGTGAAGCCCAGGCACAGGCTGCCAAGAGAAGTGGTGGATGTGCCATTCCTGAAGCCACCTCCTCTGCTCCTGGAGGGCTCTCCATGGTCATCCAAGTATGCCACCATCTAGCAGCGCATTTTGCATTTGCAGGGGTTGTGGTCGTGCATCTCATCTGTGCTGACAGACCCTAAGGTGGCATCAGACTCTCCCTTGATAGCTGGAGACAACCCCAGCCGCCTCTGATCTGGAGCTGCCCATGCCTCACATCTGTTTTCTCTCCGAAGCACTGCTGTCCAGCTCTTCCTCAAAGCAGCATGTCAAGCCTCCAAGCTAGAGTCTGCACTGGGAGCAGATGTGTCCAGAGACATTAATTTTCCCTTCAAGTGCATTGGTTTTTTCCTAAATCTTTCCACTGCTGCATTACCAGGGCTCTCTGCTTTTGCAGCTGACAGGCTCGTTCTCTGCACTCCTGTGGGTTCTGGAGATATTTTAGACTTTTATGGGGCTTTTTAGCTGCTGGGGCTGGTTTTTTTTTCCCTTCTTAGTATCCTTTTGCTTTGAGCTGCCAGTGTGCATGTGACTGCTGTGGCTGGTAGTTAAATGAGAGCAGAAAGACCCCACTCCCTCCTGTGAGGAAACATTAGGAGGCTGCAAGATGCTGGTGGTGGTGGGAACCATCTCCAGGGATATGCAGAGCCAGAGTGGGTGCTGGAGGAAATTAGGAATCAGAATCATTAAGGTTGAAGAAGACCACTAAGATCATCTAGTCCAACCCTCAATCCATCCACATCATGTCCCTCAGTGCTACATCTGCACATTTCTTGAGCACCTCCAGGGACAACCTCCAGCACTTCCCTGGGCAGCCTGTTCTAATAACTAGCCACTCTTTCTGAGAATAAGTTCCCTCTATACTCGACCTGAGCCTCCCCTGGCACAACTGAAGCAATTAGCTCTCATCCAGATTCCAGACCAGCTTGAGAACCTGCAGCTTGAGCCACACACCTATGGAGACTGTGGCTCTTTGGTGGATGTATCAATGCTTGCCTGCTTTCTGCATCTTATTTTTAGGATGCACCATCATGTGTTCACCCTCTGTCATAATATCACAGAGGTCGGGAAGGCCACCAAGATCATTCTGTCCCACCATCCTCTCGTCACCACCTTGCTAATTAAACCATGTCACCCAGTGTGACATCTGTTTGATAGCAACTGAAGTTTGTCACCACCATCATATGCAACCAGTGTTGGTTGTAGCCTTGCTGCTATGGGATGGCTGAGAGCTCCCTCCATCACCTGCTCACGGGGTCTCCCAGGGCTGCATTCCCCACGTGAGCAGCGCAGCATTAATTGGGGCAGCTCAGCTGTTTGAGCCAGCCTCGGGTGATGCCACAGTTATTTAAAGTGCAGTTGAAGCAGAACTGGGAGGCACTGGGGCTTAACATCTAAGGAAGATGACGAAATACTGGCCAGGAGCAATGCAAGTGGAGAGAAAATAAGGGAGAGCACGGACAAAAGCATAAAAATCCTGAAAACAATGGCTGTGTGTCAGAAATGAGAAGGCTTCTTTGCTCCCCTTGCTGTCTAACTGATGTTATCCTCTGACACAAATCCCATTCCTGTCGGGAGATATTTGCTTTGCGTGCTGCAGCCACCCTGAGTTAACCTCTGTGTTTTCTTATGGCTCCCGCTGAAATCGGAGGAAGGAGTCTGCTTTGAATCCAGCAGGCTTTGAGCGCAGCCCCTGCTCCCTGCCTTTAGCCGTTCTCAGATTACTGCTCAGGCTGCAGTCCCTG